ATTCGCACAAAAATGTTTTATTGAAACATAAGATAATTGTCGGCAATCGTAAATTTGGGGAAACTGTAACCAAAAATGAGAATTTATCTTCGAAAAAATAATGGCGTTCACGAAAGCAGTACCCAATCACAGCACACTTACCATACCTCTTAAGCATTAATGTGACGCTATTAGCCAATCACAAGCGTTCTTGTAAACTCGGCCCCGAAACAATGTCGCGAGGAAAGTGACAATTTGTAGCAATTTGGACGAAAGTTCTTCGGTAGAGGTAGTAAATCGCATTTCCCGTCTTCCCTCGACTATCATACCGTAGTTTTTTGTAAGCCAAAGGCGACCGTGCTTTACTGAATGTGTATTGTGGTATTTACCTAGGCCTACATGTATGCATAGTAGGAAGGGCAAGATGTATGTTTATCGACTTTGAATGAAAGACAGAAATATATAATATAATATTTCGATTCTACTTTTTTTCCTTTTTTTTTCGTTTTGTTTTGTTTTTTAAAAGAAAACTGAGACTGAATTACTTCAAAAAATACTGAACACATTGAGGCTGATGTAAAATTTCAAATGTTTTTATTTGCATGCAATGATCAGTATTTCTCGCCATGCCAGTTGAATTTTGTTTAGCTGCTTGAAGACCTTGATAATATGGACTGAATGAATGAATAAAAGTTTGATGATTCCAATAAGGAGGTAAACAAATAAATATTTATTATAGGTCAGTTCAGCCAGTTGCATCCCATCAGCACTTTCATTATCTCTCTGATCATTCACTAGGTATATAAATTTAAATACACAACAGTAACCACGAAGAAAATAAATATGTTGTTGATAACTGTTCATACAAGGAAAAATTAAAAAATATATGGTAATATTTCTCAACACAGTATATGGTATGATGTTATATCAAATAGATAACAACATTCATCAAACAGTATACAGTTCCAATCAGATAAGACTACAGTACTTTCAATTGATTCATGCCTATAATATGGCCTGAATTGCCACCAGATACTTATATCCCTCATGTAGTAACAAGGCTTTATCCTGATTTGCAATAGCAGCCTCAACTAATTCCACCACTCAATGTTTCACATCTTACTAATTTCTCAATGGTTATTTCTCTATTAAAAGTACTTAATATATTATTGTTACATGGGAGAACATGACTTCGACCAGAAGCACTTCTTAATTCTTGATTTCAGCTGATGCAGAATGAAGCAAAATTTGCTTTGGCTGTGGTTCATCAACTTCCATTCACTTGAGTCTGTGGTCTGTGAAAATTAATTAAACAAACTAATTTAAAAGAGAGGTTACTGTGATTGTTTTATGATCAAATGTGTATTTTAATTGTTTCCTTTTAAACAACGGTTGTTTTCCAAAAAAAAGAAAAAAAGTAACAAGTAGTATCAGTATAATACAATATTAAACGCAGGTGGTGATGTTTAATTGGACATCTAAGTGTTGATAAATATTAATTGCTTAAGTCAGTTTTGATACCTATTAATGCTATATTTTTTGTTATGATGTGTGAAGGATTCGTATGTAGATAAAGCATACTGTACTAGTATTAATATAATAATTTTGTTATATTCTTTCATGAAGACATTAAAATCAAATTATGCCTGAATTAATTAGTCTAAGCACAGTCACTGAAGGGCACACCCCTACCCCCAAAAAACTGAATTGATTCAATTTGTTTAGTAAACCATTGTTCTTGGTAGATAGTAGTAAATAGTTGCTATATAATTGTACATGGCTATCCTTGAGTTGTCTTCATTTATCAGTTGTTTATGCAGGGTCAATTCATTGCCAAAATTATAGTCTTATTATGTTTACTACAATATAACATCATCATATTTGATTCACAATACTGTGGTTATTTTGCTGTCGATAGTACCCCAGTTTGAGAAAAAGGCACTGGCCTTCCTGTGTGTGTGTGTGTGGTGTGTGATAGAGAGACGCTTAGTGCTTCTCAATGAAGTAAAACATACCATACCATTTTTAACGTTATATGTAACGACACACGTACCTTTAAACAGATTCGGTGCAATTTTGACTACTACTAGTACTACTTGCACCACTATCCCCGAGAGCCTCTTCATATAGGCCTCTATTCATCAGCTTCGACGGAAACCTCATAGCCATATGCCTTACTGAGGACTCGTATTGTTTTCCACAGAGTTGCACATCCTTAAGTTTCTTTAAGCTGTTTACGCTTAATGACACAACCATACTGTATATCCTCACAACATGTATCACAAAAATATGCCTGAAACCGGCTCAGATTTATCATTTGATAAACTTCTGTCCAACGCCATACTTGCAAGTGGACGTGCGTTGTTTACTACTTACATTGGACAAACGGAATGGAAGGTAGTTTGTGATTGGCTGAGCGCCTTGCAGCTAAGCCAAACTTCATCGTTAGTCGTCTTCTGATTGGCCTTAATAAGGCGTACGTACGCCTTACTTACGTACGCCTTACTAACGTACGACTTGGTAGCCTGGTTCTCACGAGAGCCTAGTATCCGGATCGGGAGCTAACCGTTAGCACCTGCGTGAGAACGCCCGATCGGTTAGCGCTAACCGTTAGCGGTATCCGAATACGCTAACGGTTAGCAAGCGCTATCGGTTAGCAAGTGAAGGGTGTTTCTATCATCAACCAATCACACGTACGCGTTTACAATTTCCAGTTTCTTATTGGCCAGTGATTCGATCATCATATTGTTGGTATCCGGATCGGGATTTTCTCGCATGGACGCACGGCAGCTAA